ATCAAATAGATTAGTCTTGTCAAACCCTCCTTAAGCACGCCAACTCCACTGCATCGCCAGACAAGCCTCACGGAACACTAACGTAATACTCACCTGCCTTAGTGCGGACCAGGATAGAGAAGTATAGACCTATACCCCGTGTAACACCTAGTAGATTACAGTATAGTCTACTATTCTTTTCTAATAAAACCGATTTAGTACGCTATATAGTAAATTGTGATAAAAAAGTAAAGTTATATATATCTCTATTAATATATTTTATATATATAATAAAATGATATATTAGTTCTAAAGCTAGGATTTTTATACTTTGACTTTAACTTATTTTCTACTCTTACTAGTACTAACTCAATATATGCTAATCGTTTCTAGATAGAAATACTACCAATTAGATTTGTAAATTACTAACCTAGTTAGGAATAGCTGTAATACCTAGATAGTAATACTATTTTAAAGATAATAACTTTTTTAATATATTTTCTTCACATCATCTCTTTATATCACCTCTCTATACTTATAGAGAAATATTCTTACTTCTCTATTTCTATATAATAAGAAGATAGAAGTTTTTATTTTTCTTCTTATATTGAGAGCAAACAGATCTAAAAATAAGTATATAGTAACTTATATTACAGAAAAATAAAGATAAAGAAAGTAAAGCTATTATATAATATATCTTACTTTATACTCTTACTTTAGGTTCCTCTATACAGATAAGGTTTCGTGACTAAGTGGTGTGAAGAGGACACGTGATATAATTACGTGTTTCACTCACGGGTGCAGCCCATTACAATAAGCAGCTTGCCTTAGGATCGTAACAGGGACATGCCTTAATAACCAGAGGTGAGCCTACAACGAGTGCCAACAGATTGATCATACCGCTGGGCTCTTGGTACTAAAAGACACGTCTAAAGACGTCCACAATAGCCTATATCGATACATTCACATGTGTTGTAATCTATCCACAAGTATCAGCTCATCTCATCGTCATTGCCTAGGATCACCCGGCGTCGTGAAAACACAGCCATCCCTGCTACTCTTGTACACATTCAAATTTGGAGGCACACACGACACTCCGCTCTTTTGCCCTGATCCACCAGCCAGGGCTATGTTTCGGCTGCCTCGCGCCATGTGCAGCGACTAGAAGCGAACTAGAATGCAGCGAAAATGGCGACAGTGAGAGGTTGTATGAAAGCATGCCCAAGCGCTGAATGTTGAATCAGGCGTCGATGTATCGCATTTGTCACAGCGCAACAGGCAGACAAGGCGTTCAAGGCATACAAGGCAGTCAAACTGCCCGCGTACGTCCTCTGCGGCAGTCTGGTGGAGGACTGTACGGTGACCGAACGGCCCGTCCCTGCTTATATCAATCTGGCTTGCACCCCTCAACGAAAAAAGTCGCAGTGGTTAGCGCGGGTAATGCTCGGGAGTACGTGCTAAGTACTGCCACTTTATTTGTGGAGGGGGTGCTGGACAAATTCTCTCACCCCTCCATGGCGTTTCCCGATTGGCCTCCCGCTTCCTCCCGAAGACCCTGTGCTACTGGCCTGCCCCGGCCTGCGCCAACCTGCGCCCATCTGCACCCGTCTCTGTACCCACCCCCCCCCACGTCGCCCGCGTGCACCCAAGACTTTCCGGGCATCCCTTCCCTCACCCTTGATCGCCGAACAGCATCCATGCTGACGACTCGGCACCTTCTCAAACGCCGAGTTGCTCCTATCTTGCATGTTCCAAGCTAATTGAATAAGTACCTACTTACATACTTAACACTATCAGTCTAACACCACGCACGCACCCCATGGAAGCCCCACTCGCCAGCCCTGCGAGTCCTTTAGAAACCCCCGCGTTGGCTCGGCCTAGCACCCAGCGTGTCCACTGCGTACTAGACTCTGCTTGCGCTGATGGACCGTGTCAGCCTACGGGTAAAGTATGCGCAAGTACTGTACATAGCTGGAAGAAGAACTGGATAAGCCGATGGCCACCAGCCTGCAACTACAGACGACCTTGGCTAGCCTGCTCGCAGCATGTAAAAGACACTATACATGCGGCTCCAAGGCATCACAAACCTTCCGACTAATGTAGCGAACCGGCCAAGGGTTGGGGCCCTGAACGCCACAGCCTGCGATACGAACAATCATGGCGTTATGTTGTGACCAGGAAGCAAAACGGGGCGCAGTAGCACGCCAAACCAATGCTTCAGGGCTCCCAGGAAGGCCCAAGGAGGCCCACCGACATTTAGCCCTAGAGCCACCTTGGGATCTGACGCGTGGGTCTCACCTTCTGTCAGCAGCCACCAACACTAAGCACCTAGATCGTCAACTCCCAAGGAATGGCTAATACGGCAGCCGCTGGCGTCCAAACCGCCTATCCTTGGTAAAGCGGCTCTCGGACTTGCTTATCGGGTCCATATGTCCCACATATTTATGAATGTTTCATTCAGCGATTACTACTATTACTACTACTACTAGTACCATCTCGGCATTGGTCGTAGTACCATTATTCACACCCATTTATTCATCGATACCCCGATTTTTCAAGTTTTACAGATTCTACAAAAGAAACAAATCCGAGCTGGCAACCTCATTCACCGCTGTTTATATTTGGAAAAGATAGACCGGATAGGGGAGATCAGCTGCCCATCATGTTCGGAACTTTACACTGCAACTCGCCTACCAAGGAGGCAGAGTTTGTCGAGAGGCCATATGGATCCCTCAACCCAGGAATGAACTCAGCCTGTGACCGATGCAGAGCATACAAGGTAAGACTACCACGACTTAGAACCTACCCTTCAAGCAATATACGCTTTCGATATCTGGTTTACTAACGCGTCGAGCAATTCGTATAGGTCAAATGCACTGTCAGTGGAAAAAGCTGCAGTCGATGCCGGCGTTTAAAGAAGACATGCAGTTTCACATCAGTGAGGCAAAGAAGTAGCCAGCGAGTATGCAAGACAGAGGTCAACTCCAAACGCCAGGAATCCCAATCATCAGACAGGTCTGCCCAACCGCAGACATCACCGAGCCCCAAAGACAGCGGAAACGAGGGAGAAGATCATATAAAGCAACGAGGCTCTATATCATTAGGCCAAATAGACAAAAATGACGGCAGCGAGAAGGGGGACCCACAGATTCCAGATTACACATCACACCAGCTCTCTGAAGCGTCATCATCATCATCATCATCATCATCATCATCATCATCAACAACATCCAGTCTACCATTCCTCGCCGACTACGACCAACGAGATATGAGCGAGCAAAGAGACGATCTCTGCACGTGTAGCATCCTGCCCTTCCCATTCTGTTCGTCAAGCGTACACTACAACAGCCCAGACGCCATAGCACGGTCCAATATCGGAACTCCCCAGGCCCTTCCCACCCCCCCAGCCTCGAGAGACGAAACCCCACAACAACAGCTACCCAATAGCCAACTACACGACCCACAGTTCGAGATGGGCCCTATCGACACGCAATCCCTTGACATCTCCGCCCTCGCATCCTCAATGTACTGGTCGCAAAGCTCGTTTGAAAAAACCTGTCAATGCCTCGCCGACGTCATCTTCGCCCTCGAAAAACTAGAAGCAAGCTGCAGTTCAGGAAGCAGAGCGGGACTCGACTCTATTGTTGCCAATCAAAAAGAAGCCACTGAGCTCTGCCGCTGCATGCTTAAGTGCAGCAATTGCATGGCCAAGCGCGAAAACTTCGTCCTCATTGTATTCATGAGTGAGCGTATAGTCGTGGCATGCAGTCGCATCGTAACAATGTACCGCATGGAAGACGGTGGTCTGCGAAACAACACCCACAACCACACCGGCACTACTACGGTCACGCCCTCGCAGCTCGCCTGTCTACCCGGCCCGCATCTCTCCGGCACAACGACCGACATGGACATGGATAGCCAGTGCCTCGCAGCAGCTGCCGCATCAGTGGCAGCCTCCTCGCCGTCTCGGCCTCCGACGTCGGGCTGGCAGCAACTGCTCCTCGGCGACTACAAGATCAACTCAGCGCTCGAGTGGGACCATCTCGTCCGCGCGCTCATAAACTTTCAGCTCAGGGCTGTCAAAGCCCTACTTAGCGATGTGAAAAGCATAGGCACCATGATCCTGGGGGATGCGCAGAAGGAGTCTTTAGCCCATGCTGAAACAATAGTCAACAAGTTAGAACAAGACATTTACATCATCTAGCGTTCTTTGAATTTTACGAATCGCAGATTATTATTCATTATTTTATTACGTGTCATATGTTACCGTCACTATATGTTATACTTTTCTGGGCAAAGCTAGTATAGATTAAGTACATAGTTTAAGCTTTCGCGTGGTTTTCTTGGTGCCAAGAGTGTTGGAAATCCTTGCTCCTCTTGTTTTTTTTCTGCGGCCGTAACAGACGTACGATCCTTCATTGTATCTTGACACGGGCTTTTTGATTGTTCGTGATGGTTTATCGACCAGTCGCTTTACATGTGGGTGGGGCCATAGAAAGTGTAGGAACATGAGCCATATTTTGACCATCCGCCCTCCCCCCAAACCTTTCCGCCCCTTCTCGCACAAAAGGTCCTTTTTCACCCCCTTTGGTGAAAACAGTAATTTTCTTGCCTATCTTGCTCATCTTGCATCGTCCGATATATGGCCGGGGCCATGATCGGTACATATACACTATAGCGATACAGCCGCTAGTTTTGCCAACGCGCGTCCAAGCAAAGACATCATACCACCTACCAGCCTCGATTCGTAGTTGGCAAAATAGCCGCAAGTTGTTGTCGCCGAAACATGCTACGGCTCAGTCGCCGTTCTTGCTCCTTGCCCGCTCTGCGCAAGGCAGGTTGTGCAGGGTAGAACCCTCGAGAGCCAGTCAGCGCTCGGAAAGATTACAACTCGGAAAGATTCAGCGCGGCTTTCAATATACCACATCGAGTATTCAAGTACGCACGCACTGAGCCTTGCTCCGCAGACTGGGGGAGGGGCAATAGAAGGAATGCATAATAACGGAATCTGGTTCACGTATCGTGTCATTGGTTGTCAATGCTGGGGGAGGGGGTGGACAAGGGTACCCATTGATGTATTATCGCTCTGTAATACCCGAAGCCTTGTTCTTGTTCCTTTTCTCCGAGGGTCGAGTTCGTGAATGCGATGATGGGCACTGTCAGACCAGGCTGATGGGAAGGCAGCGTCTTATCCAATGGTTGGCGGATCACTGTTCCCCGCTGCTAGTATAGTACTTACTCGTCACTAGTTGACGGAGCCCTACCCGGCCTTCGTGTATGGCCCATACTTCCATGTCTTATTTTGCAAGGCGCACTACTAAGCTACTACTACTACTACTACTACTACTACTACTACTCGGACGCTACTTGCGGCCAAGGGTGTAGCGTCAGACTGTAACTACTATACAGTACGTAGGTGGTAGACGTTAGTCTAAATGCAGGGACTCGAGAAGACGCGACCACGGTTGACGCATGTTGTAAATGGTTTCAAATAGCATGCAGCTGTTGTCGCTGCCTCGTCCAAAACGTCCTTTTGCTGCAAACACGTGAGCAAGCATATATGTATGACTAGGGGGTGGCGTGATAAGGGTCACAGGCTGATGGATGCAACCAGCATCGGAGACTGCATACTGCACACTGCAGGCAGGACAGTGTAGACCGACATAAAGCCACATGTGAAGGGACTGAGGGGACTGGGGTACAGGCACCGATCGATGACATTGTGTAGAGGCGACGAGGGCTAGACATCGGTGGCATTGCGTAGCAGTGTGTTCAGGGCTTTGACGTTGGCAACAGATGATCCGTGTTCGTGTTTAGCGCGGCGCTAGTGGGAATGGCGTTTTGGTTTAGCGCACTGGCCTTCTGCACGCGCCTTCTCGCGTCGTTGACCGAGATAGCGGTCCCCGGATGGGGCTTAGTCAACGGCATGTATTACTGGTGTACATGGGTATACTCCGTTAGTTCGGTTTTTTTTAGCGCTCCTTCGGTCCGAGCTATCCGTTTCATCTAATCCCATTTCAGATACAATAATCTTTCTGCGTCCATCCCTAGAACGAAACGCTAATTACCTCAGCAGCTCGCTCGGCCTCCACCGCATGCTGACTGGGCTCATCGGTGTAATTGGTCGCGCTTCAATACTTCGATTCTTGTCCTTGTTGCAGCTGCAGCCCAGGCAAACCTCGGAGGCGACCGAAGCCACCGGTCGGCCGATCGAGGGATCCGATTACAAAGACCGTTGATATAGTTATGTACTCGCTAGTACTTACAATCAGAGCCACGTCAGATGAACACCACATTGCATCCATGCTGTGTACGTACCATGCACACGACGCCATTCGCGTAGCAAGGTCCGACTTCAACAGTCCTCTTCGGTTGGCTGCCTTGCCTCAAGCCATGCCATGATACATATCAAAGAACGAGCGATTTTGAGCAGACGTTCAACACTTGGCTGCTGTGGCTGTGAATGAGTCAGAACCTTTTTTTATTTCTTGCATTGCATTGCCGTCTCATTGCCTGCGTTCTGCCTGCATGTCACAATCGGATCTATGTATGTAAGTAGTTGGTCCTGTAACGTACGCAGGGATGTAAATCAAAAACATAGTTCCAGCCGGTCCTTGAAGTGCATACCCTCTAGTATCATGTAAGATTAGTCCAACGGCATGCCGCGATTTGGCAAATGCTCATTTCAGTTGCCGCTCGGTTATGTAAGAAAGGGCTTTGCGAAATAGCGAGTAGCTGCAAGTGCAACCGTAAATAAACCACCAGCCACAGCAGCTAGATCCGCCACAATGACCGTCCGTGCAAGTGACAGGGTGTGATAATAAGCGCGTAGCCAACGTCACCCTCGCCTCGCATAAGCTGCCAAGAAGACATTAGCTACTGTCATTTTCTGACAACGCTATCGGCCCCGAGCACAGTACAGTTTTGGCATACGACCGTATCACGGGGGGTATAGGAACCGATAAGATACTCGAGACGAGCAGCCACAGAAGCCTTGCAAAAATAACTTACTAAGGTCTTGCGAGCCAGTAAAAACCACCTCGAATGTGTCACTTTTCGGACCGTTATTTACAGCTTTCCTGCAGATCGTGCTTCGGGACATTGTGCAGAATCTGGAAAGTGCCTCCTCTACTAGCGGGTACTTATACCTTTGGTTAATACGCAGGGATTTGCCGTGCCGGGGGTGGGGGGAAGGGACGCATGGCGAAGACCGGTATCTCGGCCAAGTTCACGAACCGATGCATGTCATGACAAGGAGCTATCATCAAGTTCGTTAGTTAGGTTACATCCGAGTAGTTTTCTTGATACACAAAAGGTTTGTAGGTGGCCTGAAGAACGCAGGGCAAAGGACAGACATGTTGATTGATTCCACGAACCATGTCACAACGGCTCGTATCGCCATGTTAATCAAGGTTGCATCCGATTGGCGTTATCGATATGCACAGATTTGCACGTGGCGTGAAGGATTCAGGGCAAAGACAAGGATTTTGGTAAAATTCCACCAACACGGTGACAACGGCTGTCAACCATGTTTAGATTAAATCGCATTGGAATGGAGGGGTGATTGACGACCTCGCTTCTACTTTCATCCTATCTATGCTATCTACATGGTTTGAGGTATTGAAAAATACGAACTTGCAAGGAGGTTGGGGAGGACTTGTGTGTCAGTGTACTTCCAGATCTGACTGCTGTCATGCACACGCCAAGCGGGGCCAGTAAAGTGCGTGTTCCTCAGACCCTGCAGGGCGTACAATTTGGCGTAGAAACCGTTCTTGATCTCCTCGGGACTGACTTGCAAAAAGTACGGTGCGTGGGAGTGCCACTCGATTATCTCTGGCTCAGTCTGCTGGAATTTGTCCGGGTTCGTCGTTTGAAGCGCCTTGATGGACTGGATGATATCAGCCTTGACTGCGTCATCGGCCCAGGGGAACGAAGCCTTGCTTGAAATGCTGCTCGAGAATACGGTCTAAACACCATCGATAGCAGTTGGGTTCATGATGTTCACAGCTGGGAGGGTAGGCAAGTTGTATGGGGTATCATGGGCAGCGTTTGTGATGAGAGTCCTGGCGGGAATGCCAGTGTTCCTGACCATACCGACATAGTAACCCGTGTCGATGTACTTTTCAAACAGGTCTTTTTCAGTCTTGCTCAGGTCCAAAGGAGCAACAAAATCTAGCTTGGGGGGATGGCAATGACGAGCTTCTTAGCAACAACAAGTTTGGATCCCTGTGGAGTACTGACAATGAGCTGGACGCCGGCCTTTCCTTCACTTCGGCGGGTGTAGGTGACCTCGGAGTTGAGGAGAACACTGGAAGTAGCACACAAGACAGCACCGACTTTGGTGTAAATCTCGCTGCTGTTGTGACGAGCCGTGACGAGAAATTTGCCGGTCGTGACAGCTGCGACCGTGTTGGCTCTCCAGTATCGCATTTGCTCGGCAGTCAGGTTGGATAGGAAATCGCCCGTTCCTCAGTTGAAGTTGTACATCTGCAGGAGGACACCGGTAAGATTGTACTTGTCGAGGAATTTGCCAAATGGCATGGTCAAGTCCTCGGGGACAGAGTCTGGCAGGTACATGCCATCATTCAACTAGGGATACTTTGCAAGTTGTGCGCTATAGCCTGCAAAGCCTGCAGCAAACCCTTCTTGCGCGGGGTTGTAGGTCCGGTTGACGAGCTTGCCAGTGCGCAAATCATAGTCGAAGTTGGTTGACTGGGAGAACGAGATGGGAGCGAGCGGAATGTTGAGGCGAACCGCTATATGACAGCCACTGGACCCGCCACCAACGATGACTACATTCCTAGCGATGATGCCCTGGGCGTAGAACTTCTTTCCATTGACTGTGAGCGGCGTATTTGCGGCAGTGACACTAGACGCGAGGAGGTAAGCCGAAAGGCTAACAAGGGAAGTTACGGAACGCATGGTGAAAATGAGGTCAGTGTAAGCTGAGAGAACTTGAACTGGAGGGTAGAGATAACCTCCATGATGGATTCATGCTCTACTTTCAAAAGTTCTGCCAATTCAACCAGTATGGACTCGTTCGCCACTGTCGAGATGCCCCGAGTATGTTTGCAAGAGAGAACTCCCAGATTCGGTCATCCACCGACCAGAAGTAGTCTTATTTCAGCATTTCTTTAAGGTCCCCTATTGCCAAAGTTTGTGTAGGCAAAAGGAGCACATCCACTCAGCACTGGAAGCCAGTCATAGGCACGTGACGCATGAACACAGCTGCTTTTCCTACTTACAAACATCAGCTAACTGAGCACAATGTAGCGCTAGTATTAGTAAAAGACTTTGCCTTTCTTGGTACCCGATTCAAGCAGGTTAGGACGTGACCTGCGATCCTTTTCTGATAAAAATAATCTGGTAGGGTATATACAGCAAACAGTTGGAAACAATCAGAGTCACAAAAATTTTGAATTTGAAGTTAAAAAAGACATACCTCAGACAATATTCACGTCATCAATCAGTTGTAATACACAGAGGATTAGAATCAAACTAAAGTTTTCTCAAGCACTCAAAACACCAAAGGAATATGGTCACAGCCAAGACGGGGCAAGTATGGCGAGGCCGTGCTCACCAGGCAGAACTGCACGGAACAGGCCAGGCGCAACGGCATGGCCCAGCCCGAAGAGAACAGGCCAAGGGTTTGCCAGGGGAAGCCTTGAGCCGCAGTCAAAACTTGTACACAATACGACACAATCCCGTATTCTCTCTAACTCTTCATGGTCCGCCAAGGATAACTAAGATTTTTGTGAGAAACAGGGGTTACAGCACCCCTGCCATGGCTTATACCCCACGCCATTAGGTGCAAATGCACACGTAGGGGTAAGCCATCACGTAACGACACCGAGCTGCGAGGGTCAGCCTCCCGTCCCGACGTAACATCCCGTAAGCCACATTAGACTAGGCGCCAGTCGGCTATAACTTTCAATAACATTGCGATGGACCGGTGTATGCATATCGTCAGCCAGCGCATACGAATCTTCTCAGCCACGTACGACAGGGGTTGAGGGGAAACTTGGCCCGAGATCCCCACCCCTGGTGCATGCAGTCAATGGTGGCCTTGCAGTCAATGGTGGCCTTTCCCGCTCCTCCTTCCGACTTGCGCAATCCTCGGTGATTAATGCCATGTGACTCTCGTCAGCCACCTCCGACGCTTGCCATTGGCCCCTTCGCCGCTCACCGTTCAACCGCATTGCATCGACCCGGTTCCACTCGAGAATTTTCGTTTCGATATTGTTGTTATTATTCAACTCCCTACTATTGGTCTACACTGCTGCGTCACCCTTGTAAGAAAAAAAAGGTGTGACCACAGCGGCAGTTTTCGGCAGTACTGGTGCTGTTGGCAGCCATATTCTCGATGCCCTCATTGCCAGCGAATCTTACGTCTCGATCAAGACCATCTCCAGACACTTACCAAGAGTTCAGTCATCGAGGCTTGAAGCCATCCTAGAAGCTGATGCATCAAAGTGGGGTGGGGGTGGGGGGGGGGCATTGTTTCCAAATGGTACCCTAAGCCGTGCGTCGCCTGCAATGGCATCGGCGCCACGCGCGCGCTCTAGCTGGTGGGCTTGAAAACTAACGCAAGATCGATCACGATCTCTGCATAGAGACGGCTCAGGCATCCAAGGCTGTTGGCGCTACCACCTATGTTTTCATATCTGCCGGACTCATACGGAGTTTCGTCGGCCGAAATCTACCCTACAGCAAAATGAAGATTGGTGTCGAAGACGCCATTATCCTAAGACCAGGCACGATTGTCGGTGATAGTGAGAGGCCCAAGGCCTTCAAGACTTGATTGGTATGTAATTCCCTCCTTTCTTCCACTGTACATATCGGATAATCAAGCCGACGCTTGGACCACAGGTGTGGACCAGAAAATTCTCGGACAGGCTGCAGTCAATGCTGCGCGAATTGCACGCAAAGACAAGACCCCTTCCAAGTACTGGGTCCTTGAGCAAGCCGAAATTATCAAGTATGGTCGCGATGAATGGAAAGATAGATCAATTCGTCAAAGTGGCACAGAGTTATGAATGTACCATAGTACTTTTGGTTTTCGCACTCCCTTATTCTGATTATTAATGACTGAACATGTAGTTGGCGCTGTAAAGGAAATTTAGAGCGGCCCATGGTGTTTCTCAGTTTGCATAACTACCGTTTGATACCTGAATTCTTTGACAAACGAAGAATTGTGTTCCACATCGACTACTTTAGACAAATCACATAAACTTCACCACTCACATTCTTATTGCCTACCGTTGGTGCTTGTATAATATTACACCCTCATCACATCATACTGAAGTTGACTCCATGTCACATGCACTTTGGACCGTCTGCCCCCACTATACGTTTCTACAGATTTTAGCTTATATTAAGGGTTACATGAAGAAAGAAGCTATGTTCCAGCATAACATCCAATTGTTATTTACTTGATTTGTACTCGAATTCTACGTCGACCTCACATATTTAAAGCAGTAGATGTGTCAAAAACAGATTCTCAGAACAGACAACAGCAAAGGTCAAAAACTGATAGCTCTAATATCAGAAAGCAAAGTTGGAGAGATTTTCTAAGAGAATTATTGATATTCATATGTACATAGATCTTTCATGTTAATCAAACAGAGAAAGGGATTCGAGCCTTCAACCTTTGGGATTCCCTTCGTCAAGCGGGACAGTAATCGTGGGTCCAAAAACCACTGCGACAACTCCCGTCAAGTATTAGGGAAAATTTTCACTTCAATCTTCAATGTCAAAGTTTTGGCAATAGGTATGTATTCATTTGTTTCCTCTTCGCCACAGCTCTGTATCCAAGGATTTAACTAGCAGCCTAATTACCACAAGTCCTACAAACAAACGATGAAACACCTACAGAAGAGGGGCCAATTGCGAAATAAGTTATAGTATATATATGCTATCGCCGAGCAAATTGAAACGCCATAGAAGCCTACAACATAAAATAAAGAGCTTCCAACTTTGAATCGCAAAGAACAGAGAGAAAACGGAGAGGAAGACTCAAGGCAGGACTCTAAAATCCAGCTCTCTTCTCAGCATCCTGCTGCTCCATAGCAGAACTCCTTCCGACCACAGTCTCGCTATCCAGCGACTCCTCCGCACGAATCGGCGCCGCCTCCTTCTCAATCGTCGGGCGCTTGGGCACACGCACCCAATAGTACAAGCCGCAGGCGGCCGCCGCGTTGAAAATGACAAACACCCACATGATGCCAAAGTTTTGCCACACATTCGAGTACTCTGCATGTACCGTCTTGAGGAACATATTTGTGTCACCAATGGGACAGAAAGCGCAGTTGGACGTCGCACTGGGGTTCTGCACATAGCCACCAGCCATGGCCTGGTACTGCGCCATGTACTCGCCGCAGGTGCCATTGACAGGGTCAAATCGTAGATACTCATTCGCCGCACAGGTAACCGACGAGTTGGCAACACCAACCGCCAGCATACCGCCCACGAGATACGTAAACGGCGAGATGCGGTACATGAAGATCCAGAAGCGCGGCATCTGCTCGGGGGTAACGAGAATACCGCAGAAAATGACGGAGAGCATGAAGAGCAGGTTTCCAGTGTTACCCGCGCTCTCGGCGGAGTTGAAGGCGGCAATCATGAAGTGGGCAAAGGTGGAGCCGAACATGAGGAAGACCCAGACAAAGAGCCACATTTGGGCGCCGCGCAGCGCAGTCGAGTTGGTCGCCTCGGCGTTGTGCGAGAGCCCGATGGGGTAGTACCAGCAGAGGAACAGTAAGACGGACATGAGCGTGTTCCAGGGGAGCTCGACAATAATGTTGGATATGATGAAGGCTTTCCACGAGTACGTCTTGGACGGGCGTTCGCGCGCCTCGTACAGCGCACGCTGGGCCACAAAGTGCGGCATGATTATCTGGATGAACTGGCCGAAGAGGAAGAATAAGGTGAAGATGGAGAACATTTGGTTTTGTAGGCCTTGAAGCGTGTTGGGCATGTTGTAGAGCGAGAAACCAATGTAGATGGATGTGCTGACGCAGAGGAAGGCTTTGGAATAGATGTACGTCGGTGTGCGCCAGAGCTGCTGGAACACGCGCAGTTGGACCTCGTAGAACTGCGTCCAGAAGGGTGCAGCGAACTCTTGGAAGCTGGCTGCATCGTGCGCCTGGCGGGAGGCGGTGCGGCTTAGGTCCGTCATGCGAGAGCGCTCTTCCTTGAGCTCAGCGAGGTGCGTTTGAACGTGCGCGTATTCGGGTGACTTGCGCCAGGTGTCGTGCCAGTCGATATCAGTGTGGGATCCGGGAGCTGCACCGATAACCTCGAGCATCCATTCCGCGGGGTTGGCGGCAGGGGGGCATGGAGGCCCGCCATTGCGCGTGAAGTAGTCGATGAGAATCTTGGAATTCTCGCCAACGTCGCCGTAGTACACAGTCTGGCCACCGGACTTGAGGAAGAGGAGACGATCGAAGCGCTGGAACAGCATGGCTGACGGTTGGTGGATGGTGCAAAGAATAGCTTGGCCGTTTTTCTTGAGCTTGTCCAGGAGGTCGAGAATCGCCCATGATGTCTGAGAATCAAGACCAGAAGTGGGTTCGTCGAGGAAGAGAAGCAGAGCTGGCCGAGCGGCAAGCTCAACACCGATCGTCAATCGTTTACGTTGTTCAACATTGAGACCCTCGCCGGGGACACCAACAACGGCATCGGCGAACTCGGTCATCTCAAGGAGCTTGATGACTTCAGTGACATAGGCAATCTTCTCTTCGCGAGGGATGTGAGCGGGCTGGCGGAGAAGAGCGGAGAAGGTAAGAGCCTCGCGAACGGTAGCAGTGCTCAAGTGGAGGTCCTGTTGTTGTGCATAACCAGTCTTGCGCTGGAACGAATCGTCTCGCTCCTTGCCATCAACCAGCATTTCACCAGAGATAACACCCATGGTGGTACGACTA